CGCCGCCGCCGCTGCCGCCGCCCGGCCAGGCCCCGCCCGCCCGGGGCGGGGCTTCCCCGCCGCAGTCTCCGCCAAGGCCGCGCCTCCACCTGCAGGCCACGCCCCGCCGGGCCGCGAGGCGCCGCCCAGGCCGAAGACGCGCCTCCAGGTGTCGGGCCCTGTCCCCGCGCGCCCGGAGGCGCCCGCGCGGTCGGCAGCTCGCCTCGCGCCCGCGGCGAGGGACGGAGGAGCGGCGCCCCCGCCCGGGCCCCGAAGCGCCTGCGAAGGGGCCCCTCCGGTCCCGCTCGGCGCACACGGCGGCGGCGAGCCGGCTGCCGCAGGGCCGCTCCGGCAGGGCCGGTGCAGGCCTCCCGCCGCCCAAGCCCCTCCGCACTTGGGGCGTGCGGGCTGCCCGGCCGGCCGCCCGTGGGGCACGGCGGCCGCTCCGCGCGACTCGGCCCAGGCCCTTCTCGGGGCCCCCTTTGCTCTGCGCAAAAGCCCCCCCTCCCCCCCTCCCAGCAGTCAGCCTCAAGGGGGGGGGCAGGCGAGTGCGACGGAGGGGGAGAGAAACGCCTCCCCCCACCGGGCAGTACTGGGCACCCGCTCCTCGTCCCCCTGGCTCGCCCCCCCCCCCCCGCTGCGCGGCCCGGGGCTGGGGGTTTTTGGGGGGGGGGGGCTGCTCCAGCCCCCTCCTCGCTTGGGCTGCCCTTCTCTGCACTCGGAACGCCCAGCTCAGGCCAGGCGACCAGCACCGGACACGTATTAAAGATTTGTACGAGGGAGGAAGAATTGGGCAGTTCCCTTCTCTGTTCTATTCCTAATTCTACCCAGTCTGGAGTTTGTCCTCCTCACAGCAGCTGCGCACTGGGCCAACATTTTAACCGCACTGTCCACCACCACCACCCCAAGATCCTTTTGTTGCTCAGCCGCTGCCAGCTCACATCCCATCAGCGTATCCATGAAGATGGGTGTTTGGCCCCACGTGCCTGGCTTCACACGAGCTTGCACTGGACTGCATTTGCCAGGTTGACGCCCATCACCCCAGCTTGGAGAGATCCTCTGGAGCTCCTCACAATTCCTTGGGTTTTTTACCACCCTAAAACATTTAGTGTCATCAGCAAGCTTGCCCTCTTCACTTGTTGTTAGTCGTGAAGTCGCGTCCAACCCTTTGGGACCCCATGGACAACTCCTCCAGGCCTTCCTGTCCCCCACCATCCCCCGGAGTCCACCCAAGCTCACGCCGACTGTTTCAGTGACCCCATCCAGCCACCTCATCCTCTGCCGTCCCCTTCTTCTTTTGCCTTCAATTGTTCCCAGCATCAGGCTCTTCTCCAGGGAGTCCTTCCTTCTCATTAGGTGGCCAAAGTATTTGAGCTTCAGCTTCAGGATCTGGCCTTCTAAAGAGCAGTCAGGGTTGATCTCCTCTTGGACTGACTGGTTGGATCGCCTTGCAGTTCAAGGGACTCGCAGGAGTCTCCTCCAGCACCACAATTCAAAGGCCTCAATCCTTCGGCGCTCAGCCTTCCTTATGGTCCAGCTTTCACAGCCATACATTGCAACTGGGAAAAGCTTTGACTATATGGACTTTTGTTGGCGGGGTGATGTCTCTGCTTTTTAGTATGCTGCCTAGATTTGCCATAGCTTTCCTCCCCAGGAGCAAGCGTCTTTTAATTTCTTGGCTGCAGTCCAGTGATCTTGGAGCCCAGGAAAATAAAATCTGGCACTGCCTCCATTTCTTCCCCATCTATTTGCCAGGAAGTGAGAGGACTGGATGCCATGATCTTAGTTTTCTTGATGCTGAGTTTCAAGCCAACTTTTGCGCTCTCCTCCACCCGCATCAAGAGGCTCCTAATTCCAAATCATTTACAGAGAGATCGGAAAGCACCGCTCCCACGGACTCCACTGATGACAGCTCTCCACTGGGAGGCGCTGCCCTTGAGTCCCACCCTCCCTCCGACAGACTCTTCCATGGGGAGGCGGGGACTGGGGCCATCGAGCGCCAGGCAGCCTTGCTCCTGCGGCTCAAGGGGCCCGGGGACCTTCCCAGGCAGTCCCTTGGGAACCAGCTCATCAGAATTCCATCCCAAGCTGGATCAGCCAGAGACCCCGCCAGCGTCCTGCCTCCCGGAGAGGACCAGCTGACGCCTGACGGGGCGTCCGCGAGGAGCCCGTGCAGCAGCAGCAGCAGCCCTCTGGCTGAGCACTGGGGGCAGCATGGGGCCATCAGGACCAGTCGGCCCAGCAGCCTCCTCCTCCGTGAACTGGCCTTTTAAGCTGGGTGCCCATCGGTGCGTCTTGTGGGAGCTCCTTCCGGTTTGGCTCCGTGCTGTGTGAGAAAGGCCTCCTCTGATCTGTCCTGAACGCCCCCCAGGCCAGCTTCCTCGGGTGACCGCACTGGGCCCCGCATCCCCCGACCCATTTTGTCTCTGCCAGGCCTGATCGCAAATACTTTTATGAAGCCGCCCTTGCCTGACTTCCCCCTAAGCTGCCTTTCCTCTGAGGGGGGATCTAGTCCCTCGACCATTCGGCTGCCCCTTTCTGCTCCTGTTCCATGTTCTTTTCGGTGACCCAAGCCGTGTGCAGAATTCCAGCAGCGCTGTCCCAGGATCCCTGTCCCAACCTTTATGATCGAGGCAGATTCAGTGGCAGGTGGTTTTCAACCTTTTCCGCGTGGAATTGCCTCTCCTGTCACTGCACTGCCCCCACCCGTCCCTTTATCGGCCAGGCCCTTCCATCCCCGCTCCTGCCAGCGCATGGTGAGGCCGGAACGTTCTGCGCTCGCTTGCACGGGACCACCTCTGCCATCTGGATGCCCCCCCCCCGAAGCTGAGTCCAGCCGGCGGCAGTTTGGGTGGGAAGCTCTGGCCCCTGCAAGCAGGCCCGGTGCGCCCGAGCCCCACCGCCCGTCTGCCCAGCGTGCCCTCCGCCCGCAGCCTCCAGGGGCCCTCATCAGCTGCACTTCCTCCCAATTAGACCCTCCAGGGTTGCACCTGCCCGCACTCGCCTGCGGAGGTGCCCCTGGGGAGGCCGTTGCTACGCTGCGCTTGGGAAGCAGGCAGAGCGCGCCGAGTCTCCGCGGGGCGGCCACCGAGATGGACGGGCTGGCACGGGTCCTCAGAGCTCGGGCGGAGGACGGGGGCCAGGCGGGACTCATCCCGGCTGGGGGGAGCCGTGCTGGAGCGGACCCCAAGCAGCGGTAAGTGGGGAGGCATCATGCCCAGAGGGGTCCTCGAGAGCTCTGCCTGGCTCCCGCACACACGCACCGGGGCCCAGCGTGGCCCTGCTCCGGGCCTCGGGAAGCAGACACCCCTCGGGAGCCGGGGCCGTGTGGCAGGGGACCGGGCACTGTGCCCTGGGGTCTGAGGAGAGGTCTGGGGCCAACCTCAAAGCAGCAGATGGACTGGGCTTCCAGCATGGTCCTGGGGCAGGGCCGTCAGTTGCCTAAGCTAGGAGGGGTTTCTCCAAGAACGTCCTCAAAACTCACCCGATTTCCTCCCATCCTCTCTCAAAAGAACCCCGTGAGGCAGGCAGGCAGGCAGGCTGAAAGAGGCAACGAAGCAAGGGTCTGAGTGTGGCTCCCCCAGACCTGGCCCCGTGGTGGGCGCTCCCCACACTGGCTCTCGGTGTGGAAAGCTGAGAAGCAGGCCACGCGTGCGGCCTTTCCTTCTCCACTGAGCGAATGTGACTGTGCTGAAGACCCCACCGGGCTGACTTTGCCGGCTCTCAGGTCTCTTCCACGGCTGCCCTCACGCCCGAGTCCTGCAACCAGGAAAGCCCCCAGGCACCAGGCTGGCTCTCCAACCCACAGAATCACAGAACAGCAGAGCCAGGAGGGCCCGCCGGGCGCTCGGGGGCAGCCCCTGCTCAGCCCGTGCCCCAGGCCAAGCCATCCCTCCCAGGGGCTGCCCAGGCGCATCCTGAATGCCTCCCGTGTGGGCGAGCCCGCGACACCCTCGGCTCCACTGCCGTACTGCTCTAGCAGCACAGGAATTTGCCAGTTCTTCCACGTACTGTACTTTGGGGAGGCTGAGAAGAGATCCTGCCCTCCCCCTTTGTGGCAGCCTTTCAGGCACTTGAAGAGGGCTATCATAGTTCCCCATAGCCTTCCCTTCCTGAGGCTGAACAAGCCGTGCTCTCAGCTTTGTCTGCAGCCCCGGAGTCATCTTGCTGCCCTCCTCAGAGCCCTTTCCAGCTTGTCTGATGCACCTTTCTTCAATGGTGGTGTCCAGAACCGGACACAGGCCTCCCGGTGAGGCCTCAGCAGTGCTGAGTCGAGGGGAGCTGGCACTTCGCCTGTTTTTGAGATGATGCTTCTGATGACGCAGCCCAGAACAGCATCTGCCCTTTTTGCAGCCACATCACATTGTTGACTCGTATTTAGCTTGTCATCTTCAAAAGTTCCAAAATCCTTCTCACTTGTAGTATTTCTGAGCCGAGTTTCTGCCGTGGTGCAGTCGGGCGTCTGCTTCCCTTTTCCTGGGAGAGGCACGTGGCGTTGGTTCCTCTTGCACGTTATGCTGCTGTTTGCAGCCCAGCACTGCAGCCTATGAAGACTTTTGTTTCTGTCTTCCAAGGAATGTGTGTCACCTGCAAGCTGCGTCTTCTACGGAGTCTTTTTTAATGATAAATTACTTGCTGGTGTTGTCTGTCTCGCTCATGGTCAAGAGGGGCTCTTTTTGTTCTCGGGAGCTGCATATACCACCATCCACCACTGCCTCGACGTCCACGTCTCTCTTCTCGGCGATCTCAGCTTAAAGCCCCCCGATTAAGGTCCTTCTCTCCAGCCAACACTTTCTTTCCCGCTCTGGTGAGATGCGACCAGCCCCTCGCCAGCCGCCCCTCGGCCAGATAGTGTAGTCTCTGGTCCCAGGATCTGACTCTCATGTCGGCAACACCTTTGTAGCCGCCTGGAGCATATTCCTGGCCTTTCCTGGTCCTCCCCCAAGAACTGCGAGGACGGATGAGAAGACCATCTGGCCCTGGATTTCCGAGTTTCCATGGCAGAGTGCTCTGCGCGACGGTGTCATTTGTCCTCCCGTGGATTAAAAGAGAGGGATGGGCGTCTGTGGGCCTTGTGGGCTTTGGCAGTCCCTCACTCGCATCTCTGCTCCGAGCTCCAGGGAGACGGCGCACCTGGTGCGCCGCTGCATCATCGCAACACACGTGCATTTCAGTCCCACGCAGTCAGGAGTGCCCACAAGGAGTGCTCTTCCTTTTTCTTCGGCCACCGTCTTTCTGCGCCGTGCTCCCTGCGGCGCGGGCGCCTTGCCGCGCTTCCTCTGCCGGCTGTCCCCGGCCCCTTCCTCCAGTGGCTGGAAGCGCTGCCTTGGCTCTGGCCGTTCCCCTGGAGCAGCGCCTCGGCCGAGGCTTCTGCTCCCGAGCGGCTCCCTTCTCCAGGGCGTCTCCTCTTCGCGGCTCTCCCCGTTCAGCACCCTCCAGCTTGCACACGTGCCAGGCCACTCTGGGTGCAGCCCGGTGCCTCGGGCTCCGCACTTGCCGCCCCCTGGGAGCCTTTCCGAGTGGAGGTGCGGCCAGGGCTTGGACCTGGGCCGTCTCGGGGCCTGCCCTGCCCTGGGCTCCCTCTGCCGTGCCTCCGTCCCTCCCCTCCCCACGCTAGAGCAAGGGGGCAAGCTGCCAGGCCATGGACCTGAGGTCTTCCTGCCCCCCCGCCTCCCCCCCCCATCTGGGTGGCTTCCTGCTGTGCTGCTGCTCCTGCAGGGGGAGACTCCCAAGGCAGCGCTGTCCTCCCGCCGGAGCGGCCTCCCCTGCGGACCGGCCAGCAGCCCTCGCCGAGGAGGACACATGCCCCGCAGCTCAGCTGTTTCCGCCCTCCAGGCTGAGGGGGCAGCGAGGGAGAAAGGGCGGCAGGTGGGCCACGGGCCGGAAGGCCCGCACACCCCGGGCCCAGGGGCTCGCCATCCTTGGGCAGCCCTGGCGGAGGCTCCCTGCTCCGGGCCCCAGGCAGAGGGAGGTGGCAGGGCGCCGCAGGGCTGGCCTGGCAGGGAATGCTCCCTCCAGATGGAGCCCGGCCGAGGTGGCATGCGGGCAGAGAAAAGCAGCGGGGGGGGGTCAGGGAGGCAAGCCCCCCCACCGGGGTGGAGCCGCCCCACAGCCTCGGCCAGCCCCATGGTGCTGGGGCCGCTGGCGGGCTGTGGCCTCCTGGGCGCCCAGGCCCTCCTGCTGCCCCCCCCAGTGTCCCTCTGCACACGCATGGCTCCTCCCACAGGGGCCCCCCTGGCCGGGCGGCCCAGGGCAGAGCCCCTGCCGGGCTGCGGGGCCGGCCGCGAGCACCAGGCACCATCCCCTCTTCGCCGAGGCAGTGGCCAGCCCCACGCGGCCCCCCCTCGCCCCACTGACTCTGCTCTCTCTGCCCCCTGCCTTCCGCTGCCCAGCAACAACGCTGGCGAGGCGAGCCGGATCCTGGACCCGTCCGGAGACCGCTACTACCAGTGGCTCATTCTCATGGTGGCCCCCATCCTGTACAACTGGGTCACCCTCATCTGCAGGTGAGGGGCGGGGAGGGGCCCCGGGGCAGTCCAGGGATGGCCCCCCAGTGCCGGCCGCGGGCTTGGGGCCACAAACAACTGGGGTCCTGCTGCGGCGGGGGGGCTGGTCCAGATGTGGGGAGGGGCTTCCCTGGCCATACCTGCCACAGGTGGGTTGGGCGGAGCGACCGGATTCTGCACCAGGATCCCTCGGGCACCAGGATCCGACCGCCCCACCCACGTTGCTCTCATGGAATCGAGGGCGTACGAAACCGACAGGCAAAATCCAAGGAGGGAAGCTGGCTGCCCAGCCGCGTTCCTCCATGGGCTGGTTTGCGTCGCTCGCCCGGCTGGTTGACTCGGACCCTGTCCAAGGAGCAGGGCACAGCCCGTGCCTTCACAACCCCCAGGGCGCAAACGGGGAAGACGCCCTTGGCCGCATGGCGGGGGTGCTGCACGTCCGGCTGCGGCTCCAGGCTGGGGCCACCCGGCTGCGATGCGGCATCTCCTTCCAGGTCCTGCTTCCCCGACCTGCAGCAGAAGTACCTCTTGGTGTGGCTGGCGCTCGACTACCTGTGTGACCTGCTGTACCTGCTGGACATCGCAGTGCACTTCCACACTGGTCAGTGCCCCCCGGGAGCCCCGGGCCGCCGCTCCGCCCAGGGAGGGAGGGCTAAGCCCCGTCCTTCGGTGGGGTGCTCAGTCAGCAGCTCCGTCATGCTGCAGTTTTGTGGTCACCCACTTGGGGGCAGCAGCTGCCCACCTCTGGGGCCTAGGCAGGAAGGCGGTACCCAAAGATGATGGGGCGGGGGGGGGGGACTGGGAAGCAGGCGAGGGGCTCCAGTCTGCCGGACCCACCTCGGCACCCCCTCCTGCCCCAGGATCTCTGCCAAGGACAGAGCCCTCAGCGGCTGGGGCGCTCCGTGCCCCTGAGGGTAGGGAGTTGGCCCATTTGGATTGGCAGCCTTTGCGGAGGCCCCTCTCTGTGGGTTCAGGGCAGCCTGCCAGGAAAGCAGCCCCCCTCCCAGCTTTCTGTCCTGCACAGAGTCAAACGCCCCCCAGCACTCCTGCCATGCAGAGCACAAGGGCGGCGTTGACAGTGCCGAATGCGGGACGGGGCATAGCCGTGCCGATCGACTGCCGCAAGACCCCCCGAGCCTCTTGGGGGCTGCTGGGCGCATTGTGGCCCCGGCTGCCATGGGCGGTAGGGAATGCGCACCCTCAGGCACAGACAGCCACACCTGCAGACAGGTGCCTGCAATGAGAGGCAGCGACGGAGGCTGTTCCCATGCTGGGGGTCTCCCCCCACCCCCCACTTCCTGCTTGCGAGTCCAACTGCCTGCATACACCCCACGGAAACTGATGTTGTTCCCCCTCACTGAGCTATGGAGGAGTGGGTGCTGCTGGTGCCACGTGCCCAGCTCATGGGGTGGTCCGCCCCGTGGCTCTGCTGAGCAAGGCCCACACCCCACGCCCAGGACAGGGGGAAGGTGGGCCCAGGCAGGCAGGCAGGAGCCACCGGCCACCGGCTCACAGGCCCTCCGGATGCCCCGAAGGGCCTCCCTGACCGGCGTCCGAAGTGCTCCGTGGGGTGCTTGGGCTCCCAGAGCAGCGAGAGGGCAGAGAAGCCGCCCCAGCTGGGGCCACGGACCCTGGAGGCTGGGCCAGGGGGGCTGAGAGGGCTGCAGGGCAGGGGGGCCTGGGTGGGAGTGGGGCCAGGGTGGGCACTGTGGGGGGCATTGCTGGCAATGGGAAGGTGCTCCTGGAGCAGAGGCTGGCTGAGGGGGCAGGACCGGGGCCAGCGTCACAGAGGTCCTCTGGTGTTTCCAGCCCGACAGAGAAGCCCCTTTGCATCGAAGGGCCCCTTCCCCATGAGCTCCGGGCTCAGAAATGCACCCCCCCCCGGGTGCCCTCGTGCCACCCTGGGGGATAGCCAGGCTTTGTCCAAGGCGGAATGGACTGGGGGGGCCCTCACTGGCAGTGCCTCCACCAGAGCTGCAGCAGCTGGGAAAGGTGGGCCGACCAGTCACTCGGAGGCCCCTCCCCGGGCCCCTCTGCCCCCTAACCTGGCCCTGCCCCTCCGCCAGGCTTCCTGGAGCAAGGCATCCTGGTCCAGGACCGCTCCCAGATCGCCCGGAGGTACCTGCGCTCCTCCGGCTTCCTGTGGGATCTCGCCTCAGTGCTTCCGACCGACCTGCTCTACTTGGCCCTGGGGGTGGACAGGCCGGTGGTCCGGGCCAACCGTTTCCTGCGGGCCCCTCGGCTCTTTGAGTCCTTCGACCGGATCGAGACCCGCACGGCCCACCCCAACACCTTCCGCATCGCCAAGCTGATGCTGTACGTCTTCGTCACCATCCACTGGAACAGCTGCTTCTACTTCGCGCTCTCCGGCTTCATCGGCCTCGGTGCGGACGGGTGGGTCTACCCCAACGCCAGCGCGCCGGGCGCCGGGCGGCTGCTGCACCAGTACCTCCACAGCTTCTACTTCTCCACGCTCGTCCTCACCACGGTGGGCGACACGCCCACGCCGCAGCGGGAGGCCGAGTTCCTCTTCATGGCCGCGGACTTCCTCCTGGCCGTCATGGGCTTTGCCACCATCATGGGCAGCATGACCTCGGTGGTCTCCAACATGAACCAGGCCGACGCGGCCTTCTACCCCAACCGCAGCCTGGTCAAGGGCTACCTGCGCGCGCACTGCCCGGCCCGCCGCCTGCGGCGCCGCGTGGTCGCCTGGTACCAGCACCTGCAGACAGAGAGGAAGATGGCCAACGAGCAGCAGATCCTGCAGCGCCTGCCGGAGCGCCTGCGGGCGGAGCTGGCCGTCGACGTGCACCTGCCCGCGCTGCGCAAGGTGCGGCTCTTCCAGAGCTGCGAGCAGGGCCTGCTGGAGGAGCTGGTGCTGAAGCTGCGGCCCCAGGTCTACAGCCCCGGGGAGTACGTCTGCCGGAAGGGGGACGTCGGCCGCGAGATGTACTTCATTCGCGAGGGGCAGCTGGCCGTGGTGGCCGACGACGGCGTGACCCGGTACGCCGTGCTGGGCGAGGGCCTCTACTTCGGGGAGATCAGCATCATCAACATCAAAGGTGTGTCGGCGGCAGCCGCAGGGGCAGCGAGAACTGGGGGGGCTCCTCACTCCCCCTCCTCACCCTCGGGCGCTCTATGGGGCAGCCCGGAGCCGAGCTGGACTGGGGGCCCACCTGGCCGGGCCCCGCCACTGCCCCCCCATAAGCGCCCTTGGGCTGGGGGCCTCCCCCTCGGCAGGGGGGCCCTCCAGAGAGCTGTGAGCCAATCGGCTGCAGGCAGCTTCCTTCCTCATGGAGGGTGTGGAGCGGTAGCTGTGGGGATGCCCCTGGGTGGGCGGGGTGCCCCCAGCTCCTCTGCCCGCTGCCGGTGCATCTCCTGCGCTGTCAGGCAGGTGAGGGTCTCCCCTCTTGAGGGGGGCGGCTGCCTGCCAGGGAAGTTTTAACCGGGGCTCTGGGCCTGTCGGGGTGTCAGACTCGGCCGGCGTGCCCCCCGTGCGTCCCCTGCGAGTGCCCTCCTCTGGCCCTCCTGGAGGCCGGGCAGGGCTGGGCCGGGCAGGGCAAGGAGGGCGGGCAGGGCTGGGCCGGGCAGGGCTGGGCTGGGCAGGGCAAGGAGGGCGGGCAGGGGAAGGGCTGTGGGGCTCCAAGGCCAGAAGGGAGGCTGGCGGAACGCCCTCCCAGCAAGTCCCCAGCCCACCTGGCAGCGCAGCCGCCTTCCCGGCCCGGGGCTGCTGGGCAGCCTGAAGCAAGCCCCTCTGTCCGCCACGGGGACCCTGCCATGGGCGCCGGGCCTCGTCCTCCCGCCGCGTGAAGCCCCCAGCCGCCCTCTCGGCTCTGCCCACTTCCAGGGAACAGGTCCGGGAACCGGCGCACAGCCAACATCCAGAGCATCGGCTTCTCGGACCTCTTCTGCCTGTCCAAGGAGGACCTCACGGAGGTGCTGACGGAGTTCCCTAACGCCCGGGCCCTGCTGGAGGCCAAGGGCCGCGAGATCCTGCTCAAGATGGGCAAGCTGGACACTGACGCAGAGGCAGCGGAAGCCGCACAGCAGCAGGAGCAGCGGTGGCGCGTGGCCACCCTCGAGGAGGGCCTGGAGCAGCTGCAGACGAAGCTCGCCCGCGTCCTGGCGGGGCTGGAGTCCAGCGCCTTTAAGATGGCGCTGCGCCTGGAGCACCTGGAGTGGCGGCTGCGTGGGCACGAGAGCGGGGAGGCGGAGGCGGAGGCAGAGCCCTGACCCTTCGGCCTGCACCCTCGCTCCCCCCGCGGGCCCTGCTCCTGCCCGAGTGCCCTCTCCTGGACGGCCGCGGTGGGGAGGTTCCGGTGGGCCTGTCCCCCTTGCGCCCGCGTGGCTGGCTGTGCGCGCCTCCTGGGGGGTGGACGGGCAGCAGCGCGGCACGCGTCCCCTGGGGTCTGTCGCCTGTGGTCCGACTTCGCCCGCCAGGGCTGCAGGCCCCGCTCGGCTTCTCTGTCCCAGCGGCAGGGAGGGGCCCGCTGGGCCACACCTGGGGCCGGTCCTGCAGGGGCCCAGGACTGCTGCTGCCCAAAGGCGGTGTCTCCTCCACCCGTCTCCTCTCCTCTCCTCTGCCTGCCTTGCGCTCGCCCGTGTGCTCGGCAGCCATCCCCGTGGCGCTCCCTCCGAATGTCTTCCTGTGCCCAGGATGGAGGCCCAAATTGCACAGCCGCGGGGGGGGGGGGGGGGCAGCTGTTTGCCAGGCATGGCTTTGGCTCTGACTTTGCCCCATCAAGCTCCCTCAGTGAGGGTGTTCACAGACACGCTGGCCACGGACATGGTGGGCATGTCGCGAGTGGAGCTGGCTGGAGCCGGGGGTCAGACTAGGCGGCCCGGGAGGCCCCTCCTGGCTCGCTCTGTGTCTGTGTCTACGTGCTGCAGCCCCACGCTTGCAGAGCTTGCTTGCCAGAGGAGAACGGGCGAGGGCGAGGGGCTGCGCCTGACTCGCGGGTCCCGGTGGCAGCCCCCCTGCCAGGGCCGGCTGCGTGGGAATTAACACACAGACAGGGGACCTGAGAACCACGCAAACCACACGACACCGAAACAACACAAAATTGGCATTTAAAGAAATGTATATATTGTTCAAATAACGTAAGAGAATGGCAGGCTTGCATCATCAAAAGACATATCATCAACTTCCTGGAATACCTTCCTTATTCATTTCATTTCATTTCATTTCATTTCATTTCTGTACTGCCCTCTATCCGAAGCTCTCTGGGTTTACACCAGCACATCAAAAGGTGTGTGGGTTTTCCATGCTCCAGGGGCTCCTGCGCCATTTGTCGCACAAGGGCAATCCGCATTTGTGCCCAAAGGCGCCCGTGTGGCTCGGTCACAGTGCTTGACAGAGAAAGGGAGCGCGCAGGCAGAGCCTGGGCAGGGGCTGGCTGAAGCGCCTCACGCGGGCCGGCCCAGTAGCTCCTTTCCGCTGGATGTGCTGGCCTGGCCCGGCCCCTCCTGAATGGGGCGGGCGAGAGAAAGGCCAGCTGGCCGCAGGGCACCCCCTCCGGGACCAGCTCCGCTGCTGCAAGGCCGGTCACTTCTCCGCGCCGAGACACGTGTGGACGGATCTCAATTCGCTGCATTCGGCCTCAGGCTGTGCGTCACCCTGTGCCCCGCCATGTTTGCAGTGGGGGCCCCTGCCACAAGCCGCTCTCGGTGGCCCTGCGCTCAGGCAGCATTCTGGGAAATGATGCTCGTGCGTTCCAGGAATGAGATCATTGTGTGCCGTGTTCCGTTGTGTACGCACACGTGCAAGGACCCACCCACACGAGCAGACTGCACACAGATGACTCGCCTGGAAGAGAGACAAGGGATGCCGGCCTTCCCCACCCCGATCTGAGCAGGCCGGGCACTCTCAGCCGCCTCCGCCCAGACGGCTCCCTGGCCCCCCAAGGCACCGCAGGGGAAGCCTCCTGTTCTTCCCATGGGCCCCCAACCCCTCCTGCTCCGGTCCTGGCAGGATGGCGAGCCTTCTTGCCGGCCTGAGACTCCGGCCAAGAGGCGGCCGAGGCCCTTTGCCGGCCTGCGCCAGGGAGCCCCCCCGGCCTGCCCACTCCGCTGCCTTCGCTGGAGGCATGGCCGGGGCTGCCCAGCTCGGTGTGGGTGGAGAAGGGGAGACCCTCGCCATGCCCGTGGGCACACGCAGCGGAGTGGGACGGCTTCCAGGCGGCTCCTGGCCTAGGGCGCCCTCCCAGAAGGGCGGCTGGAGGCCACGTGCCACCGGCAAGGAGCCAGCCCCGCTTCACTGCGGGAGGGGCAGCCGCCCCCGGGGCAAGAAGCAGGGATGGCCAGAGGCCCCTGGAGAGCCCCCCAGAGCTGAAGCCCGGCGGGGGGGGGGGGAAGCGGGGAGAAGCGGCCTCTGCCGAAATCCTCCGCGCTGTGCGACTCTGGCGAGCAAACTAGAAAGACGCGAAGGAGAAGCGGCGAGCGGGCGCCCGAGGAACGCGTCCTCAAGGGACCGAACAAAGCCACAGGGGGGAGGTGGGCGGCAGGCAAGAGGCTGCCCCATGCGCCGGCCGGGCCGGAGCCGGTCCCCTTTCAGTCGCCGCGCTGCGCCGCGCTCGGCTCCACCGCCAGGTAAACAGCACCTGTGTCAACACCGGCGGTCTCCTCCGGGCCCCCGAGCAAACACCGCGTGCCTCTCGCGCCGGGCGCTGCCCGGAGACGCCCGCCCCGCTCGAGCAGAGTCAGAGGCTGCCGGCGCTCTAAAAAGACCCCCCAGGACCTGAGCGAGGGGTGGGCTCGCTGCCCTAAGGCCTCTCCGAGCGGCCGCCGCCCCGATCAGCCCCCTCCCCCCGGCAACGGACTGGGCTTCGAAGAGCCCTCGGAGAGGGGAGGTTTCGCTTGGAGGCCTGCGCGGAGCCGGGGAGGACCCCGCGGCCTTCCGCCCCTTCCGACTCTGCTGGAGCAGGCGCCGGGCCCGATCAGCCCCTTGCCTTCCGGCCTCACAACCCTGCACAGACTGTGAGAGAGGCACTCTGCACATGTACAGAGGTACACACGCCCAACGGCGGAAGGCGCGCACCGCGCCAGGGGAAAGGGGCCGTGCGCGCTGCCCACGCGCAGAGGCTCGGGCGCGCCCCCGTGCCGCAGCCCGCGCCGGCCCCGCGCCAGGGAAAGCGGCG